GGCGGATGATTGTGTGAGGTTGAAGGGATGGGACCCATGGCCCGAACCAAAGGGGATGGTCGCCGAGGGGAAGGGAGACGATGATCGGCTAATGGGCGAGTGGCGCGCATCGGCCCATGATGCGCGCGGTTGGACGATCGGTGACGATGCACCAGCTGCGGACGTACGGACCACGGGAGTTGGCGGTGACGAGCGGGCGTCGGGGAGCGAGGACGTGACGCAAGCTGGGTGTGCGGAGGTGACAGGCGCGATCGGAGGTGGCGAAGAGACGGGGAGCACGGGTTGCGCCAAGTCAGCGCACGAGTACAAGGGAACCGACAGCAGTACGGTGCTCGCAGGCAGTAGCGAGTGGACGTACGTAGGCGAGGAAGACGGCAATACCGCGGGGCGCGAGGGTGATGGTGAGATGGCTGGCATGCGCTGCAACCGCGTGAGTGATCGGGACGCACGATGGTTGTCCAGCTGGGGCGAGGCGCGCGATGGGCGCGCGAGTACCAGCGACGCGGGTGAACGCCTAACCCGTGGAGGCATAGGCGTAGCGGGCGACGAAGAGGACGCGCGGGAAGATGGCAGCGGCGATGGGGAGTGCGCGATTGCACGCGAGTGCACGACAGGCGCGAGTATCCTATGCGCGGCAGGACTAGGCGACTCACGAGAAGGAACGCACGCGCTGGACGGTGGCGGCACGGACAGGGGGCGCATTAGGGCGTGCGCGTGCGGGACACATGAGGCGCGCGATGCCTCGCGCGCCGAGGACTAGGAAACGCGGACGGACGGGCGTGCGCATACGAGTGGGACGCGTGCGAAAATTAGGGCAGCCGAAGTTTGGAGGAGTTTGGAGCATTCTAGATCTGCTTGGTGTGAAAGCCAAGGATTAGTATTTTGGTAAGTTTAGGATTTTATTGCTTTCTAGACTTAGGATTTCTATTCTTTCAATATTTAGGAGATCTATTAGATTTAGGCTTAGATTTATTTTACAACTATAAATACTCCATGTACCCCATCATTATTAGAAGTCTTGAATTGAGTATTGAATTGGTGAGCTAATTTTGAGGGGGAACCTTGTGTTCTTAACGTGTGATAAAGAAGGTCGTTAGTGCGTCTTTACATGCAGTGTCGGAGAGAAGGCCGTTAGTGCGTCTTGAAGTCACGGTGTCTAGGAGAAGGCCGCAGTGCGTCTGCTAGATACATCTATCGGGGATAAACGAAGGCCTCAGTGCGTCGTTTATTCGCAACCCAGTATAGACAAAAGATCGATCGTCATCATTGGTGCTTTCATTGAGAGGTGCTGATCGATATTTTGTCTATCTTATCTTTATTTTTTTCGGTTTTTCCTTTTGGTGAGGGAACCGAATTTCTCTTATTT